TTCATTCACCACCACCAGGTTCAAGCTAAGCAACTCCCGCTTCAGACCAAACCCAACTATCCATTCACCACCACCAGGTTCAAGCTAAGCCCCTCCCCTCAGACCGACCCAACTATCCATTCACCACCACCAGGGTTCAAGCTAAGCCACTCCCCTTCAGACCAACCCAACCATCCATTCACCACCACCAGGGTCAAGCTAAGCCCCTCCCCTTCAGACCGACCCCAACTATCCATTCACCACCACCAGGGTCAAGCTAAGCCACTCCCCTTCAGACCGAACCCAACCATCCATTCACCACCACCAGGGTAGAGCTAAGCCACTCCCCTTCAGACCGAACCCAACTATCCATTCACCACCACCAGGGTCAAGCTAAGCCCCTCCCCTTCAGACCGACCCAACCATCCATTCACCACCACCAGGGTCAAGCTAAGCCACTCCCCTTCAGACCGACCCAACTATCCATTCACCACCACCAGGGTCAAGCTAAGCCCCTCCCCTTCAGACCGACCCAACTATCCATTCACCACCACCAGGGTCAAGCTAAGCCCCTCCCCTTCAGACCGACCCAACCATCCATTCACCACCACCAGGGTCAAGCTAAGCCACTCCCCTTCAGACCGACCCAACTATCCATTCACCACCACCAGGTTCAAGCTAAGCCCCTCCCCTTCAGATCGACCCAACCATCCATTCACCACCACCAGGGTCAAGCTAAGCCACTCCTCTTCAGAACGACCCAACCATCCATTCACCACCACCAGGGTCTAGACCCCGGGGGGTTTAATCGGATCGGTTCTCCCCTCCCGAATAATACTCCCGCACAACGGGGCCTAATCCCCAAAACTCCATTACATTCATTTGTGTATTCCTGGCAATAAATATGTGTTCTTACATCAAAACTGTCTCTCCTGATTGAAATGCAGACGTCTTATTTTCTATTTAAAACTCACAGATAATCCATGGAGCATGCTGGCCTTTTTGCTTTAACTTTACTTCTTCTCTTTGTTATTTTTTAATAAATAGATAAAGTTAGATAAATAAGCTATCATGAAAAACATGCATCGTTATACAATATTTGTAATGATATCTGACTAAGGTATGCGTTTAGATAAGTGAAAATAAAGTGGCAAAGTTAAATGGCATCAAGAAGTGGAAAGAGTTAGGCTTTTTGACAGCTGAGTTGACAGCCTGACTACAGTAATATGTATGTGCATTTGAGTGTTATTAAATGCTCATACCATGAAAACACCTCATTATTTTGACACACATAACTACAATAGTACATGAGAATGACCTGAATAAACACACACAACTAACAGACCAAATGAAATACGATAACACATTAAGAATACACAACAGGCTGCTCTCTTTCACAGAGCTTAATTTCTCTTTTTCCAAACATTAAATCCACTTACACAAACAAACACGCTGCTGTGCATTCTCCAGCTAATTGTACCATTGGCTGACGTAAAACTCAATCAAGATTGGCTGGAGGAAGCCCATGAATTGAATTAAATGCGCAGCATAACCTCGGACGTGAAGATGGCTGTAAATGAAAGTAGAGCTGAATAACACAGATATGCATCACTCTCTGTTCCTCTAGCTAGCAACAAAGCAGCAACAATAATGTTAAAAGGGAAGTGACCGGCTTCCAGGAAACACTCAGTCCTTAGGAGCTTCCAGGGAAAATGGGATGTATTTCCAGGAAAACAGGTCAGGTGATATCCTGGAATAAAGGGAAGCTTTCCTTGTACTGCAGCCATGATCAATTCCAGTTTCCTTTACAGTACAAAGTGTGCAAACTCGTCATTAAATACCAGTATCTGATCCTTTGCTGTTCACACATTTCTGTGCCAGATGTCATTATCCTGCAGTCCTGCCTGATGCTCACTTTATTATTTTTCTTTTTTTCGCGGCACCGGTTGACATCCACCATCTTTTTGAAAGCTCAATAAAATACATTTCCTTTTTAAATAAAGAAACGTACTATGATTGGTTGTCAATAAGGTTTGTTATTAACATACATACAACTATTTATCTTCATTTGGTTTGCATAATGTCATTAAATAGCTACAAAATGTATGTTAAAACCAAAATATATCCACTATTATACTGCATGCAGTTTGCTTTTCAGCCCAACTGTATACAGTTCAATCGACCGGACTTCTTTCTGCAGATGTGAGCGTCCTTTAACAACGGTCAATAAGTCCTTGCTGCACATTATCCCTTACATGCTTCCATCTTAAGCTTTGTTAGTTAGTTTCGTAACGGACGTAATGTAACAGTAGTAACGGTTGTAGCTTTTCTCAGACGCGGAGGGATACTGACTTGTTGTGAAAAGTAACTACAATTCTACCCGTGGTATATGCTTATTATATCATGGCTAAGAACCAATCAGATTGCTTGATTTGACTTTTGACTGGTCCATTTCACCAGTCGACAGCCTAACTGTTATTTATGAGCATGACAGTCCAAACCCACCTTAAAAGACACACCACTGGTTTTTTACGACAAACCGTTCGGTGCCTTTTTCTCTCCAACACTGCAAACAGTATTTGATGTGCAGTCCAAACTCCTTATCTGTTATACTTCAAGAGGAAGTGGAGCAGAAAGCTTCTTTCTCTGAGCTCCTTCTCTCTGCATCCAGCTTCACTTTGAAGGATTTCTATGTGAAAAGTGTCCAAACTCTGCCAGTCAGAGTAAGACACATATGCAGCTTTTTCCAAAATAGTCAACAACCCAACAGAGACACACACATCTGCTTCTCTGAAAGCCTCTGCATGTTGTGATGGTCACAGTGGCGGTTCTAGACCAATTTGACAAGGGGGGCCACTGGGGGGCCAGTTATTTTCTGAGGGGGGCACAATAAATGCAGGACGAAAAGAGAACTAGACAGTATGAAGTAATTGCGCATAAGAAAACAATGCAATACAGTTATTGGTATTTGTTTCAGTACACTTATTTATTTCAGATAGATCTTATAGTTATTACTGTTAGCTTCAGCTTAAGTTATAGTGCAATGTTTGCACTCACACCATATTTATATAAAAATAAAGGCAATGAACAGTTACATCTCTACTTTACATAAGGGTGTCTGCACAATCTCACATTACAGCAACAAAATCCTGCGTTTTTTGGCAAACCGAGTACCAGAAAATATACATTTAAAAAAAACAAAAAAAAAACTTGTCATTGTTAGGGGGGCCAGAGGGGGGCCAGAGGTCAGTGTTAGGGGGGCACTGGCCCCCCCTGTCCCCCTAGAACTGCCCCTGGATGTTCAAAATAGATTTATTAAAAGCTCCCCCACGGTGACGTTACTGGAAGGAAATGCAATAAAAGACAATAAGAGCACGTATGGAGTGAGTCCATCTACTCTCTGCTGTGGTTTCAAGCAGTTCTCACATTCAATTCTCCGAATCATTTTCACATTTAGTCACGGGGAAGGTATAGATTCAGCGGGAAACATCATGAGAAGAAGTGTTGCTTGTGGTTCAGGATATAAAAATACATGTGAGTCAGATATCAGATTTGACCGTGTCTATTGCACATCATTAATTGTTGCTCCCACGTCATCACCTTACAGAGATTCTGATTCATGCCATAACGATATAGAGAGGTGATGTTTCATATAAAAAAACTATAAAAAATTGTTCTACCCGAATGAAATCAGGTTTTTCGGTGCCGCAATGATAAGTGACTGAAAAGATTCACCAACTATTTTGATATTTATACATTTTTCAAGGAATTGTTAATCTTATTTGAATTGAAAAGCTGTGTTCAGCCTCTGAAAGGTCATTATTTTGAGTAATGCTGCTTTTGGTTGTTTTAAATCATATTAAAATGAATATTTTTGGGTTTTCCATTGACATTAAATCACATTTAAAGAGTTACAGAAACGGGAATAGACATGTTTCCCTTTCACATGAAAAATGAACATATTCCTGTAAAACTGGAATAAATATAGTTTTCACAGCAGCATATAATATATATTGTTGAATAATTATGACCTGCTTAACTTAAATAGCTATATGCAAATGGTAATACAGAAGTGTACGTTGAAATACATCACATTTTCTTTACGTTTTTCGTCGTGGCATTGCATCCTGTATCGAGATTTGTGTCGTTTCACTGCTATTGGTATCTTTTATACATATAGTTGGACCTATGAGTTAGACATACAGTGGCGGTGCCAGAGTGTTTGTGTTGGGTAATCTATGGTTGGGCTAACCCATACAGTGGTGGGGCTCAAGTCAGTATTTGCAATGTAATTACATACACGCTATATCACCCCCCTTGACAGTGAAACGCCACGCGTGAGGTTTAGATTATTTCCCAATCAAAATGGAACTGTATGAAATAAAACGGCACATGTCTTGTAGTGAATAAAAAGGGATCCCTGTGAACGTATGATAGTACACGTTGAAGATCCAATGGGGATACTGAATGGCGGTTCCGACTGATCTCAATCAGTAAGGCATGACGCAGACCCAACGTTTCGTTGCTCTGATTGGCTGCAGGTCTATTCAAATAGCATTCAGAGGCATTTTGATCTGACCGCGGCCGCGCTGATATTATAACGCCAGAGAATTTCCACACCTTTAGTGAATAAAACTCCCCCACTACTTAGACTATTCCTTGCACCCCTCTAGCATAAGCCTGAATGGTCTCAACCATATTGCGTCAGTAACGTGCACTTGTTGTTACAGCAGGATCAGTTTGTGTGTTGTGGACACGACCCGTATATTTTCACAATCCGTGTTCTCAACATTTATCATTTAGCTTATTGTTTAATTTAATTTGCTTACTTTAACATAATTTGTCATGGTGGGGCTAAGCCATTTATTGGTATGGCTGTAGCCTACCCCAGCCATACCCTGGCGCCGCCACTGTAGACATACATGATCTAAAAAACCAAGCTTTAACATGTATCGTCTTCGCTCTAGTTTCTCACTTATTAACCAGGAAATCACATTTAGAGATACTTCTGTCAGACCCACCGGCAGCTGTTTCTCCAGGCAGTTGTTGAAGTTTTTGATTTGGTTGGGCTTCAGCTTCTTGAGGGGGATTCTCGTTTCCCCGATGAACTCGTTGTGTCTGAATTTGTCCTCATCACACACGGAAATCCTGAAAGAAAAGAGAAGAGAGAATAAAGCTGAGCTCAGGATATTTCTTGTGAAGCTTTAAACAATAAAACCGCCTGAAGCTCATCATCCTCCATCGCAGGGATTCAATTCAAACTATCCACTTCTCTATAAATCTGACTCTTTAGCACTGAAGCAACGCCCTGAGTTCATGAGACTTTTGTCAGACTCCATCAGCCTGACAGAGGATGATGGGATAATTACACTTTAGGATGCATTCGGCCATCTCCAGATCAAAACACTGAAATATTCTAAAGTGAGAAGATGGAAAAATAACTTTGTTCTGTTAATGTCATAACTATTTGAAACCAAATCAGGACTTTAACTTCCTTTCACTGTGCAGATCTTATAGATTTGATTACTGCACTGTGCAGAGTTTCATGGAGCATTCAGTTGGCTTTTGTTTTCACTGCTGTTTGTTGGTATATGTCTGTTAACATAAAAACTTCTGCTCCTATTTTGATAAAACTACATAAAGAGTTGAAGCTAGGCTCGTTTGAGATGAGCGAGACCGACACAGACCTGCGCAATTGCGACCGCCGTCTTGCTAGTGCGTTGCATGATGGTTAGTCATTTTGTCCGACTTGGGGTGCGTTCCACTTCTCTTATGTTTCATTTCCTCGCGCCTCGGTCTCACCGGAAGTTGATTTGTCTGCGCCATCTTGAGTAGCGTCCCAGTGGCCTTATTTGTGCCGGAGGACCGAGAATCGAGGATGGAGGAGCGATAATCGAGGAACTACTAGACCATCCTCCGGTGAAATCCTCATACACTCGCCCCGCCCCCTTACTGTGTATCGCTCACTGATTGGACGATGCAGCGCATGCACTGATCTGGCTGCTGTCAGACGATCAGCTGTGCGGCGTCATCACAAACGGACGTTGCTTCACGTGGCGCTCCGGAGGACACGACGTCCCATTGCTCTTAAAACTAATTTCCCTGCTTCTCGTGGTTTCCTTGCGTCCCTCCATGCTTCCCTGGAGGGAGGGACTAGTCGCAGGGAAACAACGCAAGTGAGGGCAGCAAGGAATCCATTTAACCGAATAAGGCCCCGTCTCAGGTCGGTTAAATGGATTCCTTGCTTCCCTCACTTGCGTCGTTTCCCTGCGACTAGTCCCTCCCTCCAGGGAAGCATCATTACATCAATCTAATGTAATCAATATAACAGAGGCAGGCTTTTTAATTGTGAAACAAGGAATTCTCGATTAAATAGGGGTAAGGTCAAGAAAAGCAAAACTTTATTAATAGAGCAGATTTCATTACAATAAAACTCCATGTTCTTTATTATTAGATTATAACCTAATAATACAAATACAAATAAACTTTAGTTACATCCCTATTTTCACGGGATTTCACTTTTTTTTAATTTGATTCAATTGAAAACCTTGAAGTCTCAGTGGAGTATTCAGAAACATCAGATTGTGTAGATACAGAATGGATAACATAATGAGAACAATTCTGACGTCTCTGCCAGCATGCATTGAAGGAAACGGCCTTGGTGTACGTCTTCTATATTATATCATGTGTTCGTTTTCAAAGTTATTTAGATAACAGACAACAATATGTAGAATTTGCTGGTAGTACATCGGAGTGTATGAACATAGAATGTGGTGTCCCGCAGGGCTCGGTTTTAGGGCCTACACTTTTTATTTTGTACATCAATGACAGGTGTGAAACGTCAACATTATTGCAATTTGTGTTGTTTGCAGACGACACAAATTTATTTTGTTCAGGAGATGACTTAAACATTTTAGCAAAGTGTATTGGACATGAAATGGTCAAACTTAAAGGATGGTTTGATGAAAATAAGTTAACCCTAAATTTGAATAAAACGAAGTTTATGGTTTTTGCTAATAGAAAAAAAGATGAAAACATTTCACTGTCCATTGATGGAGTTTTTATTGAAAGGGTTTCTGAATTTCGATTCTTAGGTGTGACGCTGGATGAAAACCTGACATCACACATAGCACATGTTAAAACCAAAGTGTCTAGGAATATTTCTGTTCTGAACAAGGCAAAGTATTTGCTAGATTACAAGGCATTGAGGATGTTGTACAGTTCACTCATTTTGCCATTTTTCATTTATTGTATAGAAGTGTGGGGCAACACGTACATGAGCAACATAAAGCCATTGTCAATATTACAGAAAAGGGCAGTAAGAATAATTCATAAAGCTGACTCAAGAGAACACACCAACAGACTGTTTTTTAAGTCAGGACTCTTGAAACTCAAAGACAGCTGAGCTGCAGGACATCATCAGTAATGCACAAAGCAGAATGTTACCAGCATGTTTACAACAGTTGTTTGTTTTTGGATCAGACAAGGAAGACCACAGAAGGAAATTAAATGTTAAGCATCCATATGCAAGGACTACTCTTAAACAAATGTGTATTTCGGTAGTTGGTGTACAATTGTGGAATTCTCAACACAAGGATCTAAAGAATTGTATATGTATTTTTCAGTTAAAGAAGTTGCATAAATTAAGAAAGATGGGACTATATGAAGCAGAATGTGAATAAGTCGATGTACTCTGGTCCTTCATGTTTTTGATGTCTTTGATGTGATGTCTCCTCTGTATTTGCGCGTCCCATTGCCATTGTTATTGTTGTTATTGTTATTATCATCATGTGTCGCTTTCCACCTTCTTCTCAAGTAGGACTCAGATGAGGGTGTTGCACTTTTCTTTTCCTTATACATGTGATGTTTTGGTGTTTTGTTTCTTTCCGTTAACCGTCAAGTGGGAAATAAGTATTTTTTGTGTGTGTTTCTCTTAGTATCCTAAGATACTGTTATGTTTGGCTGTGAAAAAATAAATTATTATTAGGAAGGGCAGACCATCTATTTGTATTTATTTGTTTTTTTAGAAAGGGGCAGGTCACATAAGATGTTATTCTTCTCCCTGCTCCTTTTCGCTAAATGGTAGAGTCATGTTTTGTGGCAATTATTGTACATTTGGTTTTGCGTACCATGAGCGGGACAAATACAAATGAAATGAAATGAAATGAAATCCTCTGAACCCATAAACACTTGCTTCATCTTTTCAGTGCATCCTTTACTGTCTGCCAGTGTAGTTTCCGATCAATAGAAGAAGATCCCTTATATCACACACTGACCTGCACATACAGTACACAGAGCTTCACTTACACTCCTGATCTATATTCCTCTCCAGCGTTTCATTACAATTATAATGAATGTCGATTATTGGTGTGAAACCGCGCTGCTCTCCTCAGATCTTGGTCCTGGATAAATGCAGGATATGTAAGCACTGACATGATTCACACTCATGTAGTGGAGTACGCTTCGTGTCAAGTGCTTTTCTCCCAACAACCAGCCTCTGGAAACATGCAGCCTTTGTGCAGCAGTGATGTGTGCTAGCATCTTGTGTAGGGGATGTAATCAGAATCACAACGAAACACACAGAAGTTATAATATCTGCTGCAAGGACAGGTGCACATCTCAATCTGTGGAGGCTTCTCTCTCTGTATTGTTCCAGGGAAATGGTTAATCAAGGTGCTATTTGTGAAGAGATGTGTGGCTTTTGTGCATGCGAGCGTTAATCAGATCATGTCTCTCAGGAGGTGTCGGAATAATTGACGTCTATTGTTTTTGCGGGAGTGAAACGGTCATATCTTTCCTGCACCTCTGCAACACAAAATAACCATGATAAATGTGTTGTCAGTTTATAACAATAACATGATAACCAACAATAACCTGAACGTTGGTGGGATTTATCAAGAGGGGTCTTGAATGTTTGTGTAAAATCTGGTGCCCATCAGTCGGAGAGTTGTCAGGATATTCTGGTTTGAAACAATCCTTTTTTTCATGTACGGCCCGTCCACACAGCAGCGTTAAAAAAATCTTCCAACGCTTCCGCCCATTGACTTTGAATGGGGTGACGTCACTTTGCCTCGCTTTTCGCCGAACTGCATTATGGGGAAGCAAAGTGAAGATTTCCAGGATTTTCAGGATTCAAAAGTTGAGCAATGTTCAACTTTTGAAGCTGAGGTGGAAGCGTCAGCCAATCAAATCACGTTTATGCAAATCTGACAGTACAAGCGCTAGCCAATCAAACCGCGTGCAAGCTGGGAGAGACATACCGCAGTTCATTTTCTATATTCCTGAAAATGGAGGAGAAGTTGTTTTTGCGGTAGCAAATCACCCGGTTCTTTATGACCAGTCGCTAATAACTTACCGGGATACAAACCGGAGGAACCAGGCATGGAGGGAGGAGGCAGAGACAGTGGGTGAAACTGGTAGGTTTTCGCCTGTTTGGGGAGTTTACATCCAGTTTACTTCATTTTAACATTGCTATTGCTTTGTATGTCGGGGGCGGATATTCATGTGATTGGTTGTTGGTCGCAAAAAAATCCCCAAGCTTTCAGACAAGCCCACCTCCAAGATTTTCAAGATGTTTTTAACGCTGCTGTGTGGACGGGCCGTTAATGGTTTCCAATCCAATCCACTTTATGTATACAGTATAGCACATATTAAAAACAGAGGGTTTACCGAAGTGCTTCACCGCCACATAACATTATAATAAAATATAATATTACAATAATAGATAAAAGGAACACATAAGAATAGATAAAAGGCACATACTGTAAGGGCTATGGACAGACAAATAAAAGCATAACAATCGATAAAACATAGCTCAAACTGACTCGAAAGCGTTTGCCCCGTTTCTTTGTTGTTCACCTTGTAAAGCGGCCTTGGGTCCCTTGAAAGGCGCTATACAAATGTAATCTATTATTATTATTATTATTATTATGAGTGGCTACCCTAAAATGTGCAATCCTATTAATCCTATTATCTGTTTGTAAGATGACAAAGAAGAGCAACACGTGTCTATTCTTAAAATCCAAAGTTAAGTCTTTAAGTTGTTTCTAGTTCAGTCCAAAACCCAGATATGCTTACCAAAAGACTCCCTGGTTGTAATATTAGCCCCCCAGGTGGGAGTAATGACACTTTCTCTCTACGAACAACACGGTAATAGTTTGGTGCATGGACAGGGGGTGAAAAGTTAGGACGATTCTAAGGGCCCGTGACTGACAGGGGCCCAAACTATTTTAGAACATTAAGAAAACATTTTTTAAATAACCTTTCATCATTCATCAATAATTAACATTAATAGAACGTTATATTGATAATGTACTCACTAAACTTACGATTCATTTAACTTATTTTCTTCCAAAAGTTAATTATCCAAAGGCTCTGTACACCCCCTTCTATTTACATGTAATGGTTTGGTCCTGCCTCCAACCACGGTGCTGCACCGGCACTTGAATGGAATACAACATATATATATATATCAAAACAAAAAGCTAACATCTCATTTTAATTATACATTTCAAACACAGTGTTTTTCCACATATTTAAGTTATATTTATTTGGATTTATGCATTCATGTTGAGAATGTTCCATTCAAAAATGTTATTATTAAAAAGGCATTTACACCATAAAAGATTACTATTGAGATCTAGGAATGTTAGTCTTATATCAAATAGTGAATTCTATACTGCAGCAGAATGTTCCACGCCTGCACAGTGTTATAGTTTCACAGCTCAGTGTCAGTAAATATTGTGCAGTTACTTAGTATTGGACTACAAGATAGATGCAAGCCTGTACAGGTAGAGTTATTTAAACCATAAATGGGTGGGTTGGGTTCTGGAGGTGTGGTTACAGCAATTGTGCTTGGTTGGCGTGGCCTGTGCCTGGTGGTGCGGCCCAATGTGATATCTTTTCATGGGGCCCAGAATCCCTGGCGGCGCCCCTGTGCATGGAGGGAAAACAGAAAACTTAGATCCCTCTGTGCGTGCGGCCCACCTTTCATTGGGATATGTTACCGCTGTGAAGCTCCTTGAATGATTACGCATATGATTGTATAACCTACTTTACTACAGTGACAACACTTTGGTAAAAATAAAAGAGGCAAGAACAGTGAAGTAACACTTCCGTTGCATAACAGCTTCACATTTATCATAGAAGCAGATGCTCCTGATCCAGGTTTTGGTCAGGTGTTGGAGAGAAATACTAATAACCAAAGAACAGGAAGTTATCTCACCGCCGATTTAGATTCAACACAAACAGGATTTCCGTTTCAGTAAAAATCATATTTGAAACCACATGAAATACAGGCAGCTACACAAGCAGAAGCTATGAAGAAGAGAAACTATCAAATATACATTTCTTTCCTTTCAGTCCTTTTTCAAAAACGTCCCTCTCTTACTTTCACCCTTGTTTCACTTCTTCTTGTTTGTTACCATCCTTTTTCTTTCCCATGTGTGTTTCTGTTTGTCCTTTTCTTGATTGTATTCCCCTCAAATAGTCGAATGTTCTTCCTCCCTCCTGCCTTCCCTCCTATCCCTTTCTATCACATTCCATTGCTCTCATTACCTTCCCTTTCTCTTTGGTCTCCTTTCATTTCTTCCTAACCCTTCCTCTTTTCTCCGCCTTCTTCATTAACATTTCCTTCCTCTCTTTAAATCTTTCCTTCCCTTCAATTCCTTCAATGATTCCCTTCAATTGCTTTCATTTCCTTCCTTCCTCTTTATCTCTCCTAATCACATTTCTCATGTCACCTTCATTTCACCTACAATTCCCTTCCTTCCTTTCCTCTTTCCATTTCCCTTCCTTCCTCTTATTTTGTTCCATTCATTTATTTTCTACAAACTATCACTTACATTGTTCTTACTTTATTCAATTCTTCCAATTGTATTCAACACCTTCTTAGTAGCTTTTCATCTGAACTCTTACTTGTTATTCTCCCTTTCTTCTATTCCTGTCTTGTACATTTTCCATCCTTCCTACTTCCTTTTTCCTGGTGGTCTTTCCTCCTTCCCCATCATTCTTCCAGTCCTTCATCCCTTCCTTCAGAACACATACAGACATATAGTTGGGAGTACCTGAGTGTTTTTCGGACCATATCCTCGTCTGTGATGCCGTAGTAGGTCAAGGTCTCGCTCCAGACGGGGTTCAGAGTGTTGTGCAGGGTCTTGGTTCGGAGTTTATTGGCCTGAAAGACAAAGATAAAAGTGTGTCATTTAACAGGATATAACATCGTACAGAATGAACTGCTGGTTCCTCTCCTGCAGCTCAACAGAAATGCTCATCCCTCAGGTTTGAAGCTTCATTGAAATGCTGCCAGAGTTTTATAAACGTCCCGAGAAGTCTCCGTGCCTCGCTGACAGTTTGTAAATGCATTAGCTAACTGCTGCATATTGAACACTGTCGGAAATGAGAGATCAACGGCACACCGCATTTATTCAAAGTGACATGCATAATCACAGCATTGCAGGAAGTGAAGGATGTTGACATGATGGTAAATAACCACATCGACTCAGTTTGTGTGAACGTTAAACTTTCTGAGTAAACAATGTTCCAGACAAAGACCTGAATCCGGCTAACACTCACATTTGATTAGATAGTATAGAAACTGGCTGCGACAATACTGCAGAAGATTAAGGGAGTTTCTCCACAACGAAAAACAAACAGTACATATTTAAATGGGCTCATTTCACGTTCATATTAGTACTTTGTCGAGAGAAAATCGCGGGATTTTAGCCTTTGCAGACCATTTACATGCGCTAAAATCTAAATAACACACTACAGGCAGTGGCGGCGCCAGGGTATGGCTGGGGTAGGCTACAGCCATACCAAGAAATGGCTTAGCCCCACCATGAACATGATGTTAAAGTAAGCACATTAAATTAAATAATAAGCTAAATGTTGAGAACACGGATTGTGAAAATATACGGGTCGTGTCCACAACACACAAACTGCTCCTGCTGTAACAACAAGTGCACGTTACTGATGCAATATGGTTGAGACCATTCGGGCTTATGCTAGAGGGGTGCACGGAATAGTCTAAGTAGTGGGGGAGTTTTATAAAGGTGTGGAAATTCTCTGGCGTTATAATATCAGCGCGGCCGCGGTCAGATCAAAATGCCTCTGAATGCTATTTGAATAGACCTGCAGCCAATCAGAGCAACGAAACGTTGGGTCTGCGTCATGCCTTACTGAAGAGATCAGTCGGAACCGCCATTCAGTATCCCCATTGGATCTTCAACGTGTACTATCATACGTTCACAGGGATCCCTGTTTATTCACTACAAGACAAATGTGCCGTTTTATTTCATACAGTTCCATTTTGATTGGGAAATAATCTAAACCTCACGCGTGGCGTTTCACTGTCAAGGGGGGCGATATAGCGTGTATGTAATTACATTGCAAATACTGACTTGAGCCCCACCACTGTATGGGTTAGCCCAACCATAGATTACCCAACACAAACACTCTGGCGCCGCCACTGACTACAGGAAAGGGAAAACCCAAAAAGCATAATAGGCCTCTTTAATTATTGTGATCATGTGAGCCATTCCTTATACAAAATGCAAACCTTGCATATGTGTCTGTACATTTCCCACATTTCTATTCAATTATACATTTTTAAAACTGCACAGGTCTTCCTCTTTAATCTCTGATATAATGCACTTATTTTATTATACTAAGAAATGTTTTTTAAATAGTTTTTATACTCTATACTTGCTCCTTTATAAGGAACTTAGTAACGGAGACCAAAGCAAATTCCTTATACTGTATGTGTAACCCAACTTTGCCTAAAAAGATATCAACCTACAAATCCCTCTGCATGTCAAGGACGTACACTGAATTATGACACGGCTTTATCAGTGTAATATCGTGCGGGAAAATCCTCCCGAGAGAATACGTGACGTGATGATGGTTCTGTGTTTGAGAACATGTGATTCTTTCTGAGGATTAAAATCAATTATCTGCTGTGATTATTTGCACGTCTGATGGCGGGGAGCCGTGTAATGAGACTCTCGCTGATTGTTTCTCCCTCAATCAGTGGCTCATCCCACAGGAAGACGGGAAGACACACACACACACACCACACACACACACACACACACACACATAGAGATAGCATCAAAATTAGGGCTGCACAATATATATAATTGTTATTATCGTCGGAGCAAAGCAAGACTTTATTTTTGTATTGCACATTTGTTTTTACAGTATCAGAAATCCTTTATTTCCCTTCCTTTATCAGCTGACGGTCTTATTTACCATAAACATTTAGTACATCTCTGGGAAACACAGTAATGAGGGGCTTTTGCCTGATTCGTTGTGGATTAAAACTGATCTGTTGATTATATTTTTCAGTCATGTCGTGATGCAGAATCTATTAAGACCAGGAAAGCCCTTTTGCAGACGACACTTATTATATATGGTAACGGTGTTGTTTGTGAAGTAGCTTCCAAATGAAAGCCAAGATGTGATATTGTATAGGTCTATTCTCTATGAGTCTCTAAAGAAGTGTTGCTACATGAAGGTCGAGGTGTTTGAGGGACACCTTGAGGTTTTAAAACGCCCTCCTTGGTTTATACTAAGTGGATTGCTGGCAGCCTAGTAAGAAAGTGAAGTGATGCATTGAATTACAATTGTAGGAGACTGTAATCAGCTACTTGTGGGTGTGGACGTCAATAAATCATAGTAAAGTGTTGACCTTAGGGTACGACTCTACATGTTTTTAATTAAAGCGTTATGAAGTTTGCGATCTTGAGAGCTTGAAAGGCGACTGGTTTTATAAGGATGGTAAAAACAATGCATTTTATTCATTTGAATTCTCTTGTGTGTTTGTGTTAAAGGTCCCATGTCATGGCCATTTCTACTGATCCATTGTTGAGGTCGACTATAATAGATTTAAATTGTACAATTTTCCAAACTCACATTGGTTTCTCAAACAGCATCTCTGTATACTGTAGTACGTGTATTCACTCTGTCCTAAATTGCTTGTTGGAGCTCCTGCCCCCCCTTCCTGTGAGCCCAGTGGCCGTCTGCGAGATACAGCGAAACCAAGCCCGAAACACACACACACCCGCAGCCTGGCTGGGAGTTTGTGTGTGTGCTCAGGCTGAGTTCCGCGGTGTCTCGCCGACCCCACACCATGTGAGCCAGCTCACAGTGTCCGCTCCTCGCAGCAGCCAGACTTGCAACGTCCTGCTGTGTGTGTGTGTGTGTATGTGTGAGGAAGTCCGCGGATTGGTCCAAAAGTAACGGCTCCGCGGACGTTACGTTGCGTCACTATACCCGAAACACCTCACTATACCCAAGAAGTAAACAATGGAAGATGAGAAATCTTCAACGAGGCGTTCTGGAGCAGCACAGACAGGTCTTTCCTGTGTTAGAGTTTTACTCGCTACAGGGTGTACTTTGAGGGTTTGTGACTCTGCAGACCGTTTACATGCAGAACAACCTTCATAACAAGGGGACGGGTGATAACCGGAAAAGCATGACATGGGACCTTTAAATATCAATTGATGTATTTATACAATAAGCAACAATCACATATTGTGGATAGGAAGTAGGGCTTCCCAATTTGGCGAACAATTGCTTTTTGCTATGGAAATATAAGAAACAAATGGTATCGTACTTGCTTGGATGGAAAGGAAAATGCAAGGATTACTGATAGTTTAAAAATGGGTATTCCTCCAGTCATACGTACAAAATTAAAGTACCGTAATAAATGCAAAAAACAGTACTCTTTTTTAAAATTAATTCATATTTGAAAAAATTATTATTATATAAAATAAGAGGATCTGTACCAAACTGAAATGTTATATTAAGTGTGTAAGATTTGATTATTTCACAAGTCTATGCTGCGATTTCGGTCAGGTTTTGATCGATTGTTCCGCCCTAATGAGCTCACATTAAAGGGGAAATAATTCAGCGCCACCTGCTCACAGATGGAGGGGCAGAGCTACAAACGAGCAACCGGTGTCACAAGTCATTTCAGCTGCTGAGGTTTAAGAGCCTTTGCTCTCGAGCCAATTATTCCAAGACTTGTGCATAGACCTCAAGCTGAACCACCTTGAAAGGCCACCATATCTGAAGGAGAAGGAGAGACAAACAATATTTGGTCTGCAGGTGATCGCTCTGCAGTATCAGACAGTTCAGTGTCCGAGCTTTAATGGTGCTTCTTAAAAATCTCTTATTTAACCTGCCGGAAGCTGCTGATTGGTTTCCCGTGTCTCACAAATATTGTTTTGTTATTGCTTCAGAAACAAATCAAGCTCTAAATTGTGGGTTTTGTTTGACACTCATGTTTTGTTCACATTCACGTATTAGATAGATGTTCACACCTTTGTCACATGACCTTCAATGAGCTGTTAGTATTAGCAGTTTTGGACATGAAACGTTTGCCAAATATAACGAGATATGGACTTCATGGGTTATTTTATGTAGCTGTACTGTATGCAAAAAGCCTTAATTGCACCAGTAAATCAGCTTGTGGTGCTGTGCACATCATCATTTTACAGTAGCTAACCCCTGTCATTTAGTGACTGTTTAATTTAGAATAATAATTAGAGGTATTTCTCTGTGTTTGCTCGTGGTCTCAGAGGAGAGGAAACTATGGTCAGGCTTCGCAGCGGAGCGTGAAACTTCACTTCTGATTAGACTGCAGGCAGAACTTATGACCTCTTTAGCAAGTCTTAATGAGGCTCTTAGACCGAGCCTAATGATTGTTTTGAGAGCGAGCTGAGAGACATATCAGAGGGAGAGGAGGTGACGACATCTTGTTTTTACTGACAGGAGGATGCAAAGGGCCTCCAACTGAGACAGGAAACAAATCCCAAGTAGCCAAATGCTCTCATGGAGTTTTGTTTCACTTCCCAGTCTAATGATCCATGACATGTCATAAGTACTCCACAGATACAAAGAATAGACAAAAAAACTAAGGTACACATGTTCACCATCAACTAGTTGTTCATTAACATATTAGAGTCAAACTACTAGCTTATTGGTTATGAACAAGACTTCACTTTAAAATAGGGAACATATTCTGAGTTAGAAATAACACATTTTGAGTTATTTTAACACAATTAACACTTGTAGTTTCATGTCTTGAGTTGTTACATAAGAATAGTCCATATTTGTTAGGTGTTATTATGGGAGAATGCCTCATTAGGCCCATATTGAGCATATTAAGTC